CCTTTCCCCCTCCCCCCCAAAACCTTCACATGCCCGCAAATGGGCCCCCAAGTACTTGGAAAGCTGAATTTGAAAATTTTAAATTGCACTTAGACAGGGAACGTTCCCTGAAACTTCAGCTACTTACCAAGTTAACAATTTTCCGTCAAATCTTTCACGTGCTCGACATGAGAATCATGCATATTTAAGTGATGAATTTGAAATATTTAAGTTGTGCTTGGCCAAAATTTCAGCTTTCTAGCTTCACTGGTTCCCGAGTTAGTAATTTTCCTGCCAAAACTTTCATACCCTCTTTCGTGAGTGCCAAACATAGCTGGAAGCTGAATGTGAAATCTTTAGCTCACACATACACGGGGAATATCCCTGCAAATTTTCAGCCCCTTAAATTGTCTGGTTCCGAGAGATCACTTTCCTGCCGTAAAATTTGCATATTTTTTTAGGGCGTCCATACGCGGCGCCCAGGAGTAAGCGCACGGTGATATTAAAATAGAAGGATCGCGTGCACGGTATGGGCATATACTCTCAAAGTTTCAGCCTTCTAGCTTTTCTGGTTCTCCAGTTGAAAGTGGGTGACGAAAAATGCGAACACGCAAACACAAACATACACAGACAGCCTCTTGTTAATATGTGTTTTTGCAATCTTCATATGTGTAAAAACGCATAACAGTCACCACAAATGTTCTTCTAAATTTCATTTTCACGAAATGTGAGTGTCAATTGGCTGTTTCGGCAAGAAACAGCATACTGTAGCAAATGCTTCCTTATTTGTATATATTTTCTGACCTTTTTCTGAAATTATCCTACATAATATTCATTGTTCAGCGCAGTCCAAATTCGTAATTTAACTACTGAAGGGCGAAATCCTTGTCTGCCGCTGTATGTCTGAATGAGTTTTTTACTTTTTAACATGCTCCTCTCTTTTTCTAACCTTTTATGACCCTCTGCCCCTCTTTCCAGTTGCACTGAAACTGAAAGAAACACATGCCGTACAGAATTTTTCGAAATTTTTTGTAAGTTCATTCATCTATGTAGCAGACCTCATTTTAAGACTCTCGAGCGATGCAGTGGTGAAATTGTATGTGAAAAATTTATACCTATACAAAGTTACGCATTCGTGCACAGAATTTGTACGGTACATGTATATATTTGTTTGTTGCATACGTTCTGTAGTTATCCATTATTTTTATTACATTAATATTTTGTCTAATTTACACAAAATTTTGGTTAGTAGCTCAGGCCAGTACGTGTTAAATGGCTCGTATATGAATGGAAGTAGGTTTAATGTGTGTGCTAGATGAGGCTAAATCAGGCTACAGGTTTTGCACACATGCCTGTCTAATCAAAAACACGGACGGGATAGGTTAATGTGAATGAATACTGACCTGAACAGTCATAAAAGGCTTTTTTTCGTTGTTTTTACTGTGCATGTTGTTACTGAAATTTTCAAGTTTTTGCGTGCGTCAACTATTGCACGTTAGTAGTTGATTTTGTTGGAATTTTTTATTGATAGCGATAAAGTTAGTCAATGGCAACTCAGAATTATTGTTGTTGCATATCACATCAAACTTCAAATTACCAGTGAGTAGGTGTTGGAAAGAGTAGCATTACTGCTGACAAAGTGCAGTGACATAATAAATGATGTAAAAGGGGGGTTGGAAGGAAGTATATGGCAAGGGCGTGTCATGGGTCTAGAGGTGTAGCGTATTTGAGCGAGCGCCCTAAGAGAAAAGAGAGGAGTAGAATAGTCGTATATGTACATTTAGCACTCGTCTCAGTCCACGCAAAAACTGAGTGGGGCACCTCTGGTTTAAAATTTTTTTTTTTTTTTTAACGTTATAATTACATAAGGGGTCAACAAAAATTCAAGAAAGTATTCATGTGCATGAACACCTCGCAGCAGTTCCCGAAGAAGTAGCGCACATACATCGAACAGGCGGTGGCCGGTAACTGGAAATATTCAGCTCGGGATCGAAAGGTCTGGCACAGCTGCACCCGCCATGCAGGGCCATCCTTGTAACACCACTAACATGGGATACCCGCACACACAGTGACTACTGCTGCTTGCCTTAGTATTCTTGGTACCGCAGCAAAAAGCGTGTAAATTCGAATAAATTCGCTCAGATTGGTAACACCCTTAGGATGCCTCAGAGGAGTATTGTCCTACGTGTCTGTTTTCGCCAATTGCGTCTACGCAGATAGTTCTTACTTGGTTGGTCATCAGCACGTAAACTGATCTATTGCACGTTTCATTCGGCACGGCACGTGTAACTCGCTCATCTTTCCGCATAAACATTTTTGGTTGCTTTAAATGGCTCTCGTTCGCGGTCAATTCGAATTTGCGCCATTCGCTGAGGGTGGCGTTTTTTGTCTCCCCGTGCAGCCGGCTGTCGGAGGATCTGCTGTTATCGTCTGTAGCTTCCGTCCGCGCCGCATCTCTCCTGTTCGTCGCGGTTTTCAAGCTTCTTCGGGGATTTCTGGGAGGGGAGGGGGAGGGTTGGTTGACGGCATTCATCGAGGTTAGCGCGCGAGCTCGCGTAAGTGGTACTTATGTGGTTGTCCGAGTGGTCGAGATTTTTGGCAACAGCGGTGTCAGTATTTTTCAAAAGTTTTTTTTACACGTGATATTTTTTGCGCTTCAGAGGAATGCGCGAGGAATTTCGCGCATTCCTCTCATCTCGGTGGTTCGCGCCAGCTCATTCACTCACGTTCAGCTGAGCGCCATCCAATCCAACATATGCTCGGGCGGGCACACGTGAAAGGGTCACGTAAAATGGAAAAGACGTTTCTGTCTGCTTGAAAATTGACTTATCCTTAGTTACGACCAGAAAACGGAGACAGTTGGCGCCAGAATCGTCAAGGTAAAATGTTGATGGCGCCAAAGCTGTCGGCACAGAGTGAAGTTGACGTCAGGATCATCGAAACGGAATGGATTTGGCGATTTTCGGGGCAAGATGGACTTGGCCTCAAAATTCTGGGAGGAAGATGGCGAAGGTGCAGGAAAAGTGACGCCAAATTCAACCCGAGCGATGAGATGTGCTGTAGGCTTGACGATACTTTTGGTACTTTGATCAGTTGTTGTTTCATCATCACGTTTCTTCTCGCCGCAAAGTCAGCCGGCAACTTCTCCATTCTTCTTTGCTTCGGGCTTCCTTCACGCATGTATTTCGATATAACCGTTCGTCGGGTCCCGCTACTGCGTTGGCGGTCTTTCCTGTGTTCTTTTAACGTTGACAAGGTAAAAAGTGATATGTTAGGAGAAGTCTGATAGAGATGGAGGAAGACTGTTCCATCAAAGGAGAAATTCCTGATGGAGCGACACGTCAGATTTACGTGAAGTTGCCCCCCCCCCCCCTTTCAGCATTTCATGGATTAACTCAGCTCACGATTTTGCCACTGCGATGTGAGAAGATCTCGCTGGATCTCACTTGTCTGTATTCCGGGCCCGTAACGTTTGTCGAACGTACTGTTGCGGGGAAGTTGCACTCTTTCCACGTTTCGCAGGAAGTTCCGTGTTCTACCGTCAAGGTTCTTTTAAGCATGCCACCAGCTGGTTCCAGTGCTCTACTGCCGGGATTTGACAGAAAATATCTGTGATCTGTTGCGTTTTTGCTAGCGATTTAGTTAGATTTACGGAGTTTTTCGGATAGCAAGTTCCCTTATTCCTTAGGTTCGTTCCCACTAGCCTTCTCCCACTGGATTTGACGGAAGTTTCTCTTTCTTGACGTGGAAACAGCTGATATTCCCCTCCAGTTGCTCAAAGGATGCGTCACCTCAAAGCGTCCTTACACTAATCTTCTCCCCCACCCTCCCTTCTCCGTCGTCGTCCTCCCCTCTCGCCTGCCCGAGTTCCCTCGGGAAGTTTTCGAATAGCCTTTGCCGCTGAATGTCTTTTTGGGTATACCTCAATACACGCCATTCCCAAGTTAGTTTGGGAGAATATGCAAATTTTTTCTCCCCTAATGTTTGGTTGAAAAACGCGAATTAATCACTGCAAAATCATTCATGAATCGGTGAGATTGTCGTACGCCAGGACATTCTTCTCCTCTCGAAGCAGCGGAAGTGAATTCTTAGATTGCTCACATCGAATTTCCTGCGAAAATACCGATCCAGTATCGTATTTTCAGTTTACGGTTTGCTTCTGCCAACGGTGCGTTAACATTATCAGATTCTAGCGGGCCAAGAACGCTGGTGTTTTAGCTTTCGTTGTGGCTAAATTTAACCGCTTTTGGACAAAAAAAGAAGGAAGAAAAAACGAGAGAAAATAAAGCTTTAGTCGGTTTAAACTTTAATACGTCCAGAAATAAGTACGATGGCTCCAGATGAGGGACTGCTACTTGTCGGAAGGATAACCTTGGATCAATTCGGGATGATTTAGAAATCACTCCTTTACTCACTTCTTGTATTTTTGTTTTTGGGGTTAATTTGAAGCCAATAAATGCAAAAATGTAAATTGCCGCTCGGATGAGCTCCAGGAAGATGCGTTTTTACATCGTCAAGACGGGGAGCAGCAGCTGGAGAAATATTGTTCATTGGGGTAAAAAGACCTGACTTAGCTGTGCCCCGGGTATGGAGACATTCCAGTAACATCACTAACGTGGGATACCCACATCGCCCTTTGTGCTAGCGATTTTAGTCCATTCCCACCCTGATTTTACTGGTAATTTTACCTCATTTTTTGTTTTTCCTGAATTTTTTTGGTCATTCAGTACCCAGTTTTGTAACGCTGTACTTCCATTCGGTATTGCGGAACTGACACAAACAAGCATTTCGTTTTTCTGGCTTCAGAACTGAACCAGGCGTCGTTACGAGATGTTTCCATGGCCGGAGAAAATAACCAAAAAATTTACATCTTTGCATTCCGATCCGCTGGACGATTGCGTGGATCGCCTAAACTATGCCTATACGGTGTCGTTTATCATGTTTATGGCAGCTGTGACCGGCGCAAAGCAACATTTTGGCAGTCCAATTCAATGCATGGCACCTACACATTTCCCAGGTTTATAATAAAATCTCACAAATTTTCTAATTTTCATTTCTTACCTCCTTTTTCTTTTCTTTTCTCTTTATTTCATTCCTTCTTATTATAACTTTCTATTGCTTATCTCTACTTCAGTTCTTGTTTCCTAAGAGTAAGGCAGCTGCTTTTGTGGCCAAAAAATCTGAGGCATTTTTTAGAAGCAAAAAAAGCAGTTAGTGCCTGAAAGATCCAAATTGCTTTTCGGGCAAGGCAACCACCAGTTGAAAATAGATACAACAAATACAGATTTTTTTTTGGTGTTATTTTAGTAAAATATTAGTGTTTTCCGATTTTTTTCAGAAATAAGCTAATTTTCCCAAATTTAATCTATCCCAGTAGCATCACTAAATGGGATACCCAGTACTGACAGCTTGGGTGAACTTGATATATATATATATATATATATATATATATATCATATATATATATGTATACAATAATCGCACAAATTTTCTAATTTTCATTTCTTACCTTCTTTTTCTTTTTTCTTTTTATTTCGTTCCTTATTATAACTTTCTGTTGCTTATCTCTACCGCGTTGTGTTGCTTTACTGGTATATATATATATATATTTTTTTTTTTTTATATTGCAAGTACCGATAAATTTTGAACACATTTTTTGCAATTATTTTACCTGCTCGAAGCATTTTCAAAATTAAAAAACCCTCCCTTCTTTCCTCTTTCAGCATTCAAACTATTAGCAGCATTTGACCATTATAAGCTGAATGATCAGGCATTGCTCATCTCAGAAATGCCGTCAAAACCCATCCAAAAATTAACAAACTACAGATGATTTGTGTATTCATACTTTTTATGGTCTGATTCTTAATCTGTGATGTTTGCTAATTTTAGGCTCCTGGATTGCTTATGTGCAGAGTTATTGCTTCGTTAGTAACACATATTCGGTAAATGCTAGTGCACTTGCCACAAAAGGCGGAAAAGCGGATGTTTTCAAAGAAGAAATCTCGTATTATCAGGCAAGTCCCCTTCACGTACTAGCATTTGCTAGGGAAAACCTTTAAAAATAACTTATTACGTGTTGCTACAAAAGTCTACGAAAGAAAATAACGTATTAGAAAAGAAAATTCATGGATATGATTACCTGGAACATCTGTAATTTATAATTTGCCTCTCAATCGGCGCAGCTGTTAGGTTTTCCGGCTTTTTTGACCAATGCTGCATCGCCTACTGGTCAGTCTGCTGACGAATTGATGTTCGTTTCGGTTCCGGAAGAGACTTTCAGCTTCACCCCCCTCCCAAAGGAAGCACTTGGCTGAACTTTAGCTGTGTGGGAATGTCCGTGTTATAGTTAAGCATCACCAATTCGTCCTGAATTTTTCCAATCGCAGACCAGATATTTTGCCGATCAAAGGGAAAAATAAGTTGTATGAGAAACAGAAAGGAAACGGAATAGTTTATTTTAGAAGATGACTCCATTAAGGTGGTTTTTTTTTGTTTTGGGACATTGTTGGCACTCAGTAACCAGACCGAGGAGGAAGCGATATTTTTTTAAGGATGTTTGCCATTCATTTGCTTTGTACTCCACAGCTCACTCTTTTTAGTGCATCGTTTACTGCATTTTCCCCCATCCGGATAAATTAGGTAAGCGAAGAATGCCAGACTGAGATGAGGTCTCCTCACAATGGCGGAAGGAGCTAATGAATAAACTTACCTGGATTAGCTGTCAAGTCTGAATCTCCATCTATGTAGTCGAAAATTTTTCGACAGTTTTACAATATTCTATTTTTTCCATACACGTCACTCCACGGATTCGAGTTGAAAGAAATATAAGACGTTCATAAATTGCGAATCGTTCATAAATTCAGCTGAGACTTCTCGTTGTTTCAGTGGGTGCCGTATCTGCTGCTTGTTCAAGCCTTCTTCTGCTTTATGCCGAAATTCCTGTGGAATATCATTGTGGTGGCACAAAGTTAGCGGTTTGAGCTTTTTTCCGAATAATTCTCATCCATAGAACATCAGAGCAAACGAAGAATATTTAATATTAGAAGCAAGGACTAGTACTCTTGCAATTCCGCAGTGGCATAATATTTGGGGAGTTGTGATTTCGGTTGAAATAACACAAAATTGAGATTTGCCATCTGTAAGAATGGGGGAGGTAGCAGAACACTGACGAAATGAGTAAAAATGCCTAATTTAGGTTTATGTTTGCAAAAATGAGATTTAAAAACAATTATGTTTTACGAATTAGTACTGGCACATGCCAGACAGTCAAATTCGCTACCAGCTTGCTTGTAAGCGGTCCTCGAAAGAAACGGTCATCGACAGTCTTACCAGCGGGCGGTTGTTGTTGTTGGCATTTGCTATCGTTCAGGCTACTTACCAAGCCCCTTCATTTGTTATACAGAGAGAATATGCAAAATAACAGTATTCGCATCTAAAATATAGTGCTTCTTTGTACAGTGGTTTCTTCTCTATGCGTCTGTTATTAGCCTTTTCTCTTCGTAACGAAATTTTAATTACTGTACAGATTTGGATATGCGCACAGTTGTGGAGGAAGCAATGAAATTATCATCGAACACATCACTGGAACACCGAAAGAAACAGTTGAAGCGACTTGCAAACTTTGCACTTGCATATATCCGTTATAAAAATCGAAAGTGAGAGCGTAAAATCGTTTGCATAAACATGCCTTTTTAACTTAAATCCCTAGAACCTGTCACATCTGCATTGGGCAAGTTGTGGGAACATCCCAGTAACATCATTAACATGTGGCCTCACAAGGACTGACCGAAACATCTTGACAGTTTTGATTTTATCTCTGTTAATCTTTTAGCGACATCCCTCCTTTATCGCATTATCTACTGGGATTGTTGCCAGTTTTTCGTAGGTTTTTTTTTTACGCAATGATTTCAGGGAACAAACTTTGAAATGTTGCATAGGATATCGCTCTTTTCTGTTCTATGTGATCATCAAGTGGCTGTATTTTGGAGTTTGTATTGGCCAGCTTTATCTCATCAACAATTTTGTTGGTGATGGTACCGTATTTTGGGGTTTCAGTGTTAGTTACTCTTCGGTTTTTTTTTTTTTTTTTTTTTTTAA